TTCAATCCATGTCAATAATACCGGCGCATTTCGGTGCTCGCCTGTTTTTCATAGCATTTTTGCATTTTTTTTATTGCTTTATTTTTTCCGTCTTGTTTAATTATTTAGAATAGTTTTCGTTTTATTTTTATTTATTTATTTAAAAGACATTTTAAATAGGAGTAGATATTTATTTTCAATATAGATTTTATTATTTAGAAAATAGGATTCATTTTTTTTATTAGATTTTTTATTAAATGGATGTTTAATATTAATAGTGCAGAAATAGGATTATTCATTTTTAATATTATTAAGTTTTTTTTTTTTTAGTATTAAGATTAATTTATTCTTATTAATTAATAGTCAGTTTTTTTTTGTTTAGTTTTTTTTTTATTAGAGTGATTTAGAATTAATTAGGTGTTTTTATTTATTAGTTCAATAATTATTTTCCCATGCCAGCATAGTAACCATTGCCAAAACCATAACCTGCAAATGACCATAAAAAGACAAACTCAAAAGTAACCAAGTTTGTATGTTGAGATAAGTACACGCCGGTAATGCCCGCCCCAAAGGCCTTTCCATCACATTACAAACTTTCTTTTAATTTGCAGCAGATGAAAAAGGAACTTTATGCTACAAATAGGCCATGCCAGCACACTACAAAGTGTACAGCTTGCATTATGCAACAGGCACCAAGAATGCCACAAACCTGCAGCTATTGTACCTGCAATGGCAGAAAAAGTAATTCACAAAACCATGCTCTTCACAGCCTGTACATGAGCTTCCTACGTTGAATATACTACAATAAGGCTTATGCAAAACAGCCATACCAACAACAATTTTCCACACCATCAATCGTACAACAACACAACACAACCAGTGTAAATTCATTCTACATAAACCGCTCCAGCTGGCATGAAAGCAAAACCGTCATAGTACATCAGCATACCTCCTTACGGCAGCAATGTCTTACAAGACCTTCCATATTCATGTACCTACAGCAGTAGAGTGAAAAATTCAACTCGTAACAACATCCACAATGCACTAAACAAATAAAAATTGAGGGAATTGCAAGAATAACAATTTTGACAGCCTACACAACCATGACAAAACCAGCAATAAACACTTTAACCAAAGTCCACCACACCAGACAACTCTGCAGCCTGCTACAATACCCTGCACACATCATACCAACAGACCAAAAATCTGCTACAAGCAACAACCTGCGTTTGAAAGCGACATATCAATAACAAGATAAAATATGTGTCTCACAAAGCTGAGGGAGGCAGGGGGGTTGTTGTAAGAAAAAGAAGGGAGTGAAAAGCTAAAACACGGAGGAAACGAGAGAAAGACTGACCTTCATGAGCTCCCTTGTCCATAAAACATAAGATGCTCTTATTGTTGAGTGGGTAGCAACATCAGTAGCTGAACATCATTTCTCTTTCCCACAACCATAAAACAACCGTCAAATTCGCAACCGAAAACACCATATTCACCATCATCCTTATCACTTTCACCATCATCTTTACCTCATTCATCTTCACCTTTAAACAGAGGCTATTCACACAGCTATTACCTTTGAACTCACTTCACTCACCTCAAATCCCCAACATGATGATTACCCATAACAACAACATTGTTCATGCTCTCGTTTTGCAACTGTGAAACCAATCGGTTATGTTTTTCCAAACTTTATAACCTCATTGTTAATACCACTTGTTTCCAGCACCATACCTCATTTTTGTCACTAACAGAGCTACTGTCATAAAAGATGGAATAGAGATGAAGACTAACCTCACTCACAATCCATCCGCGAGAACCAAACTCCTCAACCACTTCAAACCCAAGCCCTTCATACCACTCTTCTCCCACTCAACCTCAAGCCCCAAACGAAACCGACCTTCCTTCTTCCCCAAAATGACAATCCACACCGGTAGCCAACTCTACCTCCTTCAAAGCCTTTTCACAAACAGTTGGCGTGCATTGTTTTCTCAAACTCAAAACTCGCTTCCATAACCTTCAACAAACTTCAGCCATAAAACCCAGCAACCTTGTAAATCACACAAACTCACCTTCATTCTTCTAACAGTCGCCGCCGTCTCCTTTCCAACACCATCACCGTAATTTCTTCATTGTGAATTCCGTCCTCTCCTTCACAATCTTCTCCTTTACTCTTTTCCTCCATTCTTCTTCTCCACCGAAACAAACTTTTTCGAAGCTTCCGCCACTGCGTAAACCAAACCCCACCATAACTTTTCTCATCGCCACCAACACCACATCGTATGAACCTCTCTGACCACAAGCCTCGTCTAATCTTCCGCTCATCCTCAAGGCAACTCAATGACGTGTTCGCAGCATTTCAACCACACAACAATGGCTGGGATTCCGTCGGCTTGACGTGATGTCGCCGTGTCCATCACCGAAGTTGCAGCTAACGGTAAGCTCTGCTTCCAATAGCAGTGACAACCTTGAGCCACACTATAACAAACGACGCGAACGACGACACTGCTTTGAGCAGAAACGAATCGGAGGGAGCTTGAGCTACAGACGGAGAGGTGAGAGATGTTGATTGAGTTTGAATCAGAGAGAAGTGTTGATTGTGAACAGTGGAGAGAGAAGTAGGGATTGAGACTTTTTTTTTTCGGTTGACCCGGGAATCCAAATTGGGAAGGGGATCTTTAGAACGAGGTCGGAGACTTGGTTTTTGCTGGACTTTGTTTTAAGTTTTTTATTATTACAAATGTTAAGGAGTATAACGTGATGATTAATAAGCTCAGCCCACCGGTCTTTCGCTACGCTTTCTTTATCATTTTTTCTTACATGGATGATGGGCTTTTAGAGGCCCATATGATTCCATAGCCTGACTCACTTGCTTCAACTCATATACCCCCAGTTTCTATCAAACCCCTCTTGTTTTTTTTTTAATTAATTCTTTTTTTTCTAGCATAGGTTTTATATTTAATTTTTAAGAGCTCTTTAATATTTTAGAATATGTATATTTTTAGAGTTAGATATTCTTTTAAATAACTTTCTTAGAAAATTTCTTAAGTTTTATTCGTAATTTAAGTTTTAAAGATAGATCCCATCTCTCTTTTCTTTTTGGGCATTTTGTCCCATTTTCCGTTTGGGTCGATGACGAAACCTCCGTAATTCATTACCAGTCAAATTATTGATGAGTAATGTTGGATCTGAGACCACCTCTTTTCTCTCCTCGCTTCTTATCCCAACTCGATTCAAAAACATTTTCAAACCAACTTCAAAATCAAATCATCTTTGTATTGAACTAAACGAGGGGATTAAGTGTAGACTTTCTTCCTCTCCGAGTGTTGGAATGCCCACTGTAGTGAGGGTGGTTTCAACGCTCGTCTTTCAATACGAAGACGCTTCCACCCCTTTTGCTCCTAAAACCTCGGTCTCGTACCGAGTCCATTTTCAAACCAACTTATAAATCAAATTCTCTTTGTATTGAATTAAAGAGAGAGGATTGGGTGTAGACCTCTTCTTCTCCGAGTGTTGGGATGCCCACTGTAGTGAGGGTGTTCTCGATACTCGTCTTTCAATACGAAGACGCGACTTTATCCACCATCTCGCTTTCACAACTTCCTTCCACAATTGTCACACCTAAAACCTCGGTCCCGCACCGAGTGCATTTCAAATTATTTTCATAACAAAAACTTGAATGGTCGTGGAGTGGTTAGGCGTAGGCCTTCTCCTATCCTGAGTGCTGACGTTTACCGTAGGGTTCTCTGTCGCAAAGCACTTACCATTCAAAACCAAAAACATCTTTAATAAGAGAATGAAGTTCTCTTTGCATTGAATTAAAGAGAGAGGATTGGGTGTAGACCTCTTCTTCCCCGAGCGTAGGGATACCCACTATAGTGAGGGTGGTTTCGACGCTCGTCTTTCAATACGAAGACGCCTCGTTCACCACACCCTTTTTATAACAAAAACTTTGAGATAACGAATTGGGTACTACCCGTAGGGGTTACTATCCGAGGATCTGTCTCGCCCCCTAAAAAACAATCCAATCAATCAAACATGATATACTACGTCCATTCTACCGCAAACAGGTAACGCCTAAGTCTCCAATGGTCGAGCAGCATACACCTAACTGCTAGAATGCGCACGCTAGTATCGTCAACCTTTTCTCTCACCCCCGTGTGATCGAGAATACCCCTGTTTTCCCGTAGTTGCACAAACTACGTTTGCTCTGATTTCTCATGTCAGATGGGAATACGTAGGCACAAGACGGCGATGTCTTGGCGAGCTCCCTTTTTCACCTTTCACCCGTAGGCCGAACTACGGCTGCTCTGATTTCTCATACCAGATGAGAATACGTAGGCACAAGACGGCGATGTCTTGGCGAGCACATTCCCCCCATATCTGTAGTTCCCCGAACTACGTCGACTCTGACTTTCTCACATCTATTGAGAATACGTAGGCATAGGACTGCGAAGTCCTACCGAGTCTGTTCTTTCTCTTTTCTTCCCCGTTCTCTCTTTCCTCCTAACTTTCTTGTTTCTAACCCTTCTTTTACCCCGTGGAACACCTCTTATAGCATAATATTTTAGCAAATATAATCACACATCGACAAACAAAAGGTTCCCATCGAGTACGATGGATGCGAGGGGTGCTAATACCTTCCCCTCGCATAACCGGCTTCCGAACCCGTTCATGGTTGCGAGACCATCTTATCCATTCTTTTCTTAAGGTTTTCTCGATATTTTCCTTTCCCCTCATGGGATAAATAAAGTTCGGTGGCGACTCTTCTGTCCTTTCTTTTCGCCTCCCCGTCGTTGCACGATGCATTTTTCGAGTAGCGACAGTCTGCTACTAATCTGTCCTATTCCCATTTCTGTGTTAAGATTGTGGTGCTGTAATTGCTTACTGCTGCTCTGTATTTGCCATTTTCGTGAATGTGTCTCTGCTGTCTTATTTTCATGTCCCTGAATTTTGTTCATTTAAATTGAAAATATCTGATATTTTTACCCTGAATTTTTACTGCTTTGCTTGTGATTTTTTTACTGCTTTGATTTATGTTGATGGGGCAACTTTTCAAACTGGGATTTTGTCAATATTCGTATGGATGGAAGCTGATCATACTCATCTCCTTCTTCCTTGTCTGAAAGTAAAATTTCCTCCATTTCATCATCAATTCCACTTTGATTGGATACAGGGCGATGACGTAACAGGGACGAAAGAAGATGAGGCAGAGAAGGAACTTGGGCATTATTTGCTGGTCCTAGTTCTACGCCATTCTGAAACTTAAGGAGGGAGTTTACATTGCCCAGAACTTTGGTACAAATGCAAAATAACAAGAGTTGAGATCTCCAAACCTGTCCATTAGGAAGAACTTTCTCCCCCGTAATATTTCTTGGGCACTGAGGATGGTTCTCAACCAAAAGTGCAGGGCTTTCAAGCCTTGAATCTAACATTGCCTGTTGTATATACTGCTGTATTAGATTAGTACATTGAGATATATATGAATCATAATTAACAGTATATCCCTCAGGTCCTTCTGGAATAGCTGAGGAAGAGTGAGTCATGACTAGGATAGTGTTGAACCAGATTGCTCTACCAAATACTTCAGTTATGAGTTTCAAAAGTGGGAGGTCACTATAACCAGAATTGATAAGATCAAGACGTCCAAAATATAAAACGATGTCTGGAGGAGATTTCCTAATGAATCTCTTCACAGACAGCATGATCCTCTTATTTCTCTTCACACTATTGGGAGATGAAAGCAGGAAACCAGGGGTATCAATAAACGTTATGTTAAGCCCGTTTACAGTTCCCACAATTTCTTGGATGCAATCAGTAGCAGGTTGAAAAGCATTAGTTGTGGCTTTTTCTTGATCAAAAATAGAGTTTATGGTAGCACTTTTACCAACTCCTGTTTTACCAAGGACAAGTATTCTGCAGGAGAACTCCAATTGGGGAATCCCAGTCGCTTCCTGATGATTTGCTATTGCTCCGGCTCTACTGCTACTAAGGTTAACTCTTTTCAGATCCAATTCTTCGGTACGAATCAAAGTTGCCAGGTGCATCCGATAAAGAACCTTTGTAACCAAGAGGTTTTCTTTTGACTGATTGAGGCGCTGGAGCAGGCGGAAAAACTTAACTTGGAGATCCTCAACCTTTGCCAAAGTATCCTTCCGTCTCCCATTACCGCTATCTTGAGATTGAGAAATTTCTACATCTGAAACTTGTTGCGGTGTGGAATTACTCTGATTACTCTGATTGGCAGAAGAGTTTGATGTGCCAGATGGAATCGGCAATGCTACACTATTAGCTGTGGGAGCTTGCTCATTAAGATCTTCACTGGGACGGTCTTCCTCGTAAAAACCATTACCGCCTGATAACGGCGTGGGCGATACCAATGATTTGGAAACTATTTGCGATAAAACCCAATCTCTAAAACCTTTCATCCTACCTAAGTCTTCTTAAAATGAGAATAACAACTCCAAACATACTAGCATTAAATCACAAGAGTTTCCATAAATAAGCATGAAAATAAAAACAACAATTTCAATCAATTTGTTTCTCAAGCACTTGTGTTAATCAATAAGTATCATTGTAACTAAGGAACTGAAAACAAATTATATCAATTGTTAAAATTAAACAAAGAATTAAAAAAAAATTGAAAAGGCGAAAAGTAAGTAGTTCACCTAACATGTAGTATATAAAGCATTTTTTGGGTGAGTGGGTAACCCTAATATCAGGGAAAAGAACGAGTAGTGGATGAATGGGATAAAGAGCGGAGTTGAAAAGGAAATTGAAATTTGAACAACTGAATGGAACTTGAAATTGGATAAAAACTAGAAGATGAAATCTCGACATTAAATTGAAACTTGGATTAAATTTAAAAAGAGATGAAACTTGAATTGGATTAAAACGAAACTGGAAATGGATTGGATTAAATCTTGAGTGGAATTTGAATCTTGCATTTGGAAAGGCATGAAATTTGAAACCTTGAATTGACTCTGCAAAATTAACACCAGATTCTGATTCCATCTTGAAATAGTCCGAAATGGAAAAGAAAGTTTGAATTCTCCTATGACACATAGTTAGGACTTGTGAATGACTTGAAAAGGTTGACCAAATGTTTTGACTTCTGATGGCTCTGCAACTGATGATTTGAACACCAACTCTTGATGAGGTTTATATACATTTTTCTTTTGACACACACTTCGTGATACCTTGTAGAAAAAATGCAAAAAATGCTATGCAATGCAATGCTTATGTATTATGCTGATGCAATGAAATAAAACATAAGCCAGAGAGGTCGGTCAAATTTTGGGGTACAACAGCTGCCCCTATTCAAACGGCTTGGGCCTGAAGGGATGAAAGGTAAGCAACTTTCATACAATCAAGGTAAAAGACGGTTGAATACCCAAGGACCCGGAAATTTGACAACCGCGAAACGAACTTCTGACATCGACGCCAGGCACCCATATTAAGTAGAACGTCTGACCTTGCCGTCAGCTCTCAGCGTCAATAATTATAAATTAACTGACTTTATCGTCGGTCCTCAATATTTTCTGACTTTGCCGTCAATTTTTTTTCACAGAACTTTGGTAAAGCCCCTGACTTCGCCGTCAGCTCTTCAAAATAATCTTCTGACCTCACCGTCCAATTTACAATATTTTCTGACTTCGCCGTCAAAAAAAATTTTCAAAATCGTCTTCTGACTTCGCCGTCCAATCTACAATATTTTCTGACTTCGCCGTCAAATTTTTTTTTTCAAAATCGTCTTCTGACTTCGCCGTCAATCCTCAGAATGGTCTGACCTTGCCGTCAATTTTTTCGTTAAATACGAACAGCCATTAAATTCAAAGATATAATTACTTTTGACATCGCCGTCAAAACAAATTTTCAACATCACCGCTGAAGAGTACAATTACTTTTGACATCGCCGTCAACATAAACATCTCAACATCGCCGTTGAAGAATACAATTACTTTTGACATCGCCGTCAACATAAACATCTCAACATCGCCGTTGAAGAATACAATTACTTTTGACATCGCCGTCAAAACAAACTTTCAATATCGCCGTCGAAGATCTAAACCACTTGACATCGCCGTCAAAACTAACTTCTCAACATCGCCGTTGAAGAATTAAATCATCTGACATCACCGTCAAAACAAACTTCTCAACATCGCCGTTGAAGAATCAAATCACTTGACATCGCCGTCAAAACAAATATTCAGCATCGCCGCTGAAGGACAACCTCTTGACATCGCCGTCAAAACAAATATTCAGCATCACCGCTGAAGATCAATCACTTGACATCGCCGTCAAAACAAATATTCAGCATCGCCGCTGAAGGACAACCACTTGACATCGCCGTCAAAACAAATATTCAGCATCACCGCTAAAGAACCAAATTACTTGACATCGCCGTCAAAACAAATATTCAGCAACACCGCTGAAAAATCAAATTATCTGACATCGTCGTCAAAACAAACTTCCCAACATCGCCGTTGAAGAACTAAATCACTTGACATCGCCGCCAAGTCTTCGCTGAATATATGAGCAACAAGATTCAAACGAATTTAAGACCATCCATTGGTGACAATCACAAAAGAAAACCGCTGGGGAGACAACATGAGCTGGGGTTTAGCCAACACACGGGCGAAGATACTAGTCACCTGCGGGATTCACTTGAAACAAAAGGGTAACGACTCAGCTTATGTTTCACATGCATATGTTTGGATATGACGAAATGCTCCATACGAAATGGAAATGCTTCGCGTTTGGGTAGATGTTATGCATGTATGTAGATGCCAATGAACCAATTTAGCAAAATAAATGCTAAAGAGAAAGAGCCCTGGACGGAAACAAACTCATGCTGGGGAATAAAAGCCCTGGACGGCTTCTGATAAAAACTTCTGGGTAAAACTGCTTCGTTAAGAACAAAAACCACTCTGTCGGGGATCCAAATCAAACTTTGTTGCGGTAAACGTCCCGGATGGCCTATCAACCTACAACTCTTCCGGGAAGCAAACAACTTGGCTGGAGACAACAACTCCGCTCTGCCGGGGAAATCAACCGTGAACGATCAGCCAGATTAACTCTGTCGGGAAAACACAGCTTATTGCTGGGGAATAACTCTCTTCTGTCGTCGATTGAATCCACCATCTGCTAGGGATGTTGAATAAGACTTATTGGGAATTTATCCCGTACTATCCCCGCTGGGGATGGAGATGAACCCTCCTTGAGTCGATTCCACTATGTGGGGAAGAAAACCAACTCTGCCGACTTGGCCGTGGATTAGATAAGGAGGGAACCAGTATCAACCTCTGCTTAGGGAAAGAAAAACACAAATAGACAAATGTGTTGTACAGCCGGCACCAAATTATCACTTATGTCTTTATTTAAACAAATATCTTGATTAATGGTTAGCAAAGCCCACAAGTTTATGTATGCAAGGTTTTTCATCAAAAATATCAGGCGTCTTTTGCAAACAAAATGGTAACAAGTTAAAACCAGAACAAAAGCTTTTCTGAATAGTATACTTTATTGATAAAGGGCCGGAAAATAGGAAACTTTACATCAGATGCAACTCCTGAAAAGAGAAAGCTGCGCAAAAAGACAATTGCAAGGAAAAATATACAAAATGTTGGCAATGTGGTACAGACAAACACCATGTGACGACTCATCCATGACTCGCGTGGCTTTGACGCTTTCCGATACTTTAACTCCTGAAGAGACTGATTTGAAAGGTCGATCTTCGAGTTCTCCCTAGAATCCACTATGCTTGTGATGATCAACGCGCAGGCCGCAGTCATTTGCTTTAAAATCCCTAATTTTTGCCTGAATTGCCCTTGCGGGTTTTCGATTAACCAGGATACCCATTTTTTTGCCAAAGTTGCCCTTTCAGGTTTTCAACTTTGCGGGTTCACATTTTTCTTGTATCCCTAACTTTTGCCCGAACCTATCCTTTTATGGTTCGCCGGGATGCCCCATTTTTGCTTGGATATTCTTTTTCTTTCCAGCGGGTTTGTCTTAAGCAAAGTATTTTTTGACTGCGTCTGCGTTCACAGGGGATGTAAAATCTTCACCATCCATAGTTGAAAGTAGCAAGGCTCCTCCTGAGAACACCTTTCTTACAACATATGGCCCTTCGTAGTTGGGAGTCCATTTGCCTCTGTGATCGTTCTGTGGTGAGAGAATTCGCTTCAACACCAAGTCGCCTGCCTGAAAACTCCGAGGACGTATCTTTTTATCATAGGCGCTCTTCATCCTCTTCTGGTACATACGACCGTATGCGAGAGATGCCAATCTTTTCTCATCCATCAAACTGAGTTGATTCAACCTGTTCTTCACCCATTCTGCTTCATCTAGTTTGACATCCGCCAGTATTCTCAAAGAAGGGATCTCGACCTCCAATGGCAGGACAGCTTCCATGCCATATACTAACGAGAAAGGAGTTTCCCCAGTTGAAGTACGCACCGAAGTGCGATATCCATGTAAAGCAAAGGGCAACATCTCGTGCCAATCCTTATAAGTTACCACCATCTTCTGTACTATCTTCTTAATGTTCTTGTTGGCCGCTTCCACGGCGCCATTCATTTTCGGGCGATAGGGAGAAGAATTGTGATGCTCGATTTTGAAACTCTGGCACAGTTTCTTCATCATCTTGTTATTCAGATTAGAACCATTATCAGTAATAATCCTATCAGGTATCCCATATCGACAGATGATGTCCCTTTTGATGAATCGGGCTACGACCTGTTTCGTGACATTGGCGTAGGAAGCAGCTTCGACCCATTTGGTGAAATAGTCGATAGCTACTAAGATAAAACGGTGCCCATTGGATGCGGTCGGCTCGATCTTTCCAATCATATCAATGCCCCACATGGAAAAAGGCCATGGTGATGACATGACATTCAAAGGACACGGCGGTATATGAATCTTGTCAGCATAAATTTGACATTTGTGGCATTTCTTGGCGTACTTGAAGCAATCTGACTCCATAGTTAACCAATAATATCCTGCCCTTAACAACGTCCGAGACATGGCATGCCCACCTGCATGTGTTCCGAAAGCACCTTCGTGGACCTCTTCCATAAGCAAATTTGCTTCTTTTTCGTCCACACATCTTAGTAGCACTAAGTCATGGTTTCTCCGATAGAGCGCACCGTCTGGATTCAGATAGAAATTGTCGGACAATCTTCTCAAAGTCTTCTTATCTTGGGTAGATGCCCCAGGCGGATACTCTTGGTTCTTAAGAAAGCTCTGGATGTCATAAAACCATGGTTTACCATCAGGAGCTTCATCTATTGCGAACACAAATGCTGGTCTATCGAGCCGTGAAATGACAATTATCGGAGCATCGTTCCAGAAGTTAACTTTGTACATTGAGGACAAAGTAGCCAAAGCATCGGCCATCTGATTTTCTGCTCTTGGCACATGGTGAAGC